TGACTACAGATCTCACACACAAGACACACAGGCACACGCATCAGATGTAAACCACACGTATGCTGCATAAATGCTAATCCTAATTTGTGTAACAGCAAGGAAATTCAGAGATGAGAAGAATTATTGAAGCACGCTGAATAAATGCACATTAAAATCTCTTTTTATTTGAACTGATGGTAAATAGGAAACAATTACTTTTGTGCTAAACCATTACCATGCTCTCCCATGGAACATAAAAGTCAGACACAGCTGCAGCAAGATAAAAGAGTGCATTGGGCCCAAGACTCCTCAATGATGTTGCAACCATGTGCAATATCTGCAAAATAAAGAATAAGATTAAGAAAATACAGTAGATGATAATGCATTCAGTGGCCAAATTTTGCCGACCTAGTAAAGGCCATAAAATAGAGAAGTTTTTTCTGGATCAAAAAGAATATTTAACCACCTATGCTTATAAGCTCTTAATATGTTTCTACACAAACTTGTTGAAATATAAGCTATATGCATGAACTGGATCAATTACTTGATACATTGGAATGTGCATTTTGACATACACGAATATTAAGATCAGATGCAAGTATGTACCACTGTTACTTTTGTGTCCTTTTTATCGTTTGTGGGAGTAGTGCTAGTATATAAAGGGGCTTCTCTCCATTGCAAATACAGAAAGTACAATTTTAAAAAAAATAAAAAAAAATAAAAGAAAGACATTCGAGAGAACTATTTTCTTCCCTTGTGCTCGAGTTTGATAAGTTTCACCTCTTTAAACTTCTAGGATCTAGAGTGATATTTTCACTTGTGAACCCCATGAATATGCTTTCCTCAAAACTTGCATAATTTGGAACTCTGGCTTTGAATTAAAGATATTGTAAGTTTTGACCAATATAAGGCATATATTCTAATACTAGATCGCTCCTGCAGCTAGCACACAAGTATGGACATAACATAACCTAAAAGATCGGGTTCTAACCCAAAAAGAAAAAGAAAGGAAAATTACCTGAAGATACTCAAAAATGGTTGTGAAAGGAAGTTTCAGAAGTGTGCCATCTGCTACTGCCTGCAATATGACATCTCAAATTTTGCTAATCGATGATATTTCCTTATCAACCAAGCTAGATATGGGCTAATACACAGAAAATATAAAGAAAAATCAGAATCAAAATTGAGTGATAATACTATTAATTAGTCCATACAGCATGATGCTCACTGATTGCCCACTTCACGGCTTCTGAATAAGGCTGGCGCACTGCATTTGGAAATGAATTGAAGTAACGATCACTATGAATTATAACAATTAATCAACAAAATAAAAGAGTGCTAGAAAGGTTACTTAACCCTGGGCCCCAGATAACAAAAAACTTCCTCTTGATAAAATTCACCGAATAATAAATCAGTCATCCCAAGTTGCCCCTAACTATTTAGAGTGAGGATTCAAAACAAAAGGAAAGTTTCCTTGTACACCTATGAACAAATGCTGTTTTCAAGAACTACGATGTATCCAACAGAATACGCAGGAAATTAATTTCCTATCAACAGCAGATGACACTATCACAGACGTAACCAGCATAGCATGGATAAAGTTAAGGATCAAAAAAATCAAAAACCTTGGATGCCTGACTCATGGGTGAACTCGAAACACTCCAGAAATGGATAATCAGGAAGCAAACTGCAATATGGTTGACAGGTTCCCCTGATCACAGAGCCACAAATTAGCCCAGGAGAGTATCAAGCTTTAACCTGGAATGATTCTTACACTATGCGGTTCCAACAAAGATAAGTGCGTACTTCCGGTATAAGAAGATAACCAAATATCCAGCCTTCAAAAAGTACCTAGGAGAAATGAGCAAGATCACTTAAAAAAAACAATGTGTGGTCTCTAGAATAACACATGTGAAGTGTAATGTCATTTACTCTGTGGATGCTGCACCTCTGTGACCTGAGCTGAAGTTGTCTATATAACGAACACATCTTTGCTCTAAAGGAACTGTGGTGCCCCCAGATGTCACACAAACAACTTTCCTGGCACTTCTAGTTCCTATACTTGCAAGTAAATTGATCCAAAAAAAAAAAAAAAAATTAGGTAAAATTACAAGTTTAATTACTCAATTTTTTAGGACGGTATATTTAATCATTGTACTTCAATAAAGTTTGTAACAGATATCTACACTGGATAAGTGTTAAATAATGCAAGTACTGGCAAGGTAATCCCCCAAGTAGAATATTAGAGAATAACAACTAATCAAAACAAAGAGGCATGCTTAAGAGATTAACGAAGAAAGAACTTGCCAGATGAATTCATTTCAATAAATTTTTTCAAATCTTCACTGACGTTCTCAATATTCCTCAAAGGGGGAGCTGAATCAAAAAATGATTTGATTTCAACATCTAGGGCCTCTTGCGCTTTCTGCTGTCCGTGTACATCCATTTGGAAATGTCCTCAAAGAGAATCAATATCAAAAGCTCGCCCTGAATTTCAACATGGAAGAAATTTTAAACACAAAATAGCGTGGATTGAAAAAAAAGAGAGAGACAGACAGACAGAACCCATAAACACCACTAAATATTTGATTTGAGAAAGAGATTTTATTTGAAGCAAATCCCTTTTTTCTTTGCCTTTACGAGTTGAAGAATTCGGATTTTGATTCTTTCGTATCTTCGTAGAAAAATTTGAGAAATAGAACCATCTTATTTGGACTCTAGGAAACAACAGCATGTTAACAAATGCATCCAAAGCATTTGTGAATGCCCATTGTGAACGCAGCCTGATATGACTCCATTCAATGAACCCTTGGGCTCAACCCTTTTCTTGTGTGGTCCAGGTATTGGATAGCAGCGTCAATCTCTCTATAGGGAGAAAACCCTGAGATTAGTGCATTTTTACTTCCTATAGTTATACCTCCCTCATTCAAATTGGGAAGGTCTTTTGTAAACATCATGGATTATACATCCCTCTTGTAAATTTCACTCATCAATGAAATTGTCTCTTATAAAATATATATATATATATATATATATATGTATATATATATCAAATCGGGCCTCAACCCACTTGACCGCATCGAGTGAAATGCTTCCATCGCCACATCGAAAATACCTTTTTCCATGTAAGCGGAAGCAAGCACAGTCCACGAAACCACATCTTTTACACTCGAATAAAGAACATTGATCGAAAATCTAAAATCCCCACAATTACCATAGAAGTTCATGAAAGCATTCCTAATGAAAATATCAGAGATCAACCTCTTCTCAGTGACATACCCACAAAACCATTTACTTGTCTTCACCAATTGTCTTCTAGAACATACTATAAGAATCGTAAGCTCAATGTGTTTAACAGGTAGTATTCCCTCATCAAGCATCGATCTGAACGCCACAAAAAGATCACTCCACTAATCTGACCAACAATACGCCCTAAACCAGAGCTGTGTAATCTGGCATGTTCTCACAGGAATTTCATCGAACAGCTTACAGTCGCTATCCACAAAACTTCACATTAAACTTTGCCAGTTTGTTTGCAAACAAACCATCAACTCGATGAGAATTCAATTTAGCAACCTGAACATTAAAGCTAAACAAAACTAAAGTACGACCAATTGGGATATCAGAACCTACATCATTACAGCCCGTACTTTTGGCAATTGGAAAAAAACTGACTGAGATCTTTATGGACCGATACGCATTGAAATGCATCCTACAAGCTACATTCATGGAATTTCGGGAAAATCTAAAAAATTAACTCTGAAGGCGATGAAAAGCCAGAAGAAGCATTGTTTGACGAAAGAAAAACCATGTTCCTGAGTTGCCATATTCGGAGGAAAAAGCTGAAACCAATCCACATAGAAAAAGAAAAAACTACATGACCTCGGAATTTAAGGGTGTACCTGATCTGTGTAGAAGATTGGCAGAGATGGAGATGGAGACGGTGAGGAAACTTGAATCTGTACTGCTCGGGAACTTTTGCCGCGTTATCGTTCTAAATGGGCGCTCTTTACAGGTGAATCAAGGATAAGCATAAATTTGTGTTTCCCTTCAAATTAAAATTTTAAAATTAAATTAATAAAAATATTCCAAAACTTTCTATTATTTGTTTGATTTAGATTTGACACGAGTGTATCTCAACCTATATTTACTTGAACATGGTAACATTATCTACTGATAACATACACCAATATGAGCGATCATGAATATTTAAAAGTTACTATCTATATCGATAATGACACATTACTTTTCGGTAGCTCAATCATAGTAATTTTATAGTTAACTGTGCTTTAATTTGAGCAGTTCTATAATGAGTGGTCTCATACAATTTTTTTAGGATACAGTGAGTGATGACAATACATGTTGAAAAGACTCGTGTGTCTGTGAGGATAGTATACACTTTTAAGAAGCGATGAGTATGTAATGTGATCATGTCACAGAAGATGCACGAGATTGTCAAGGTTCATAGGTATCAAATCCGAATCATGAATCTTGTACAACATCTATGTATCACGTTACAGGACAATGTCAGGGCATATAGGTGTTGAATCAATATTCTAATTTCTGTACAACATATATGCAATACGATAGCGTCACAGGAGAATGTCGAGGCACATAAGTGCCAAATCTAGATTTTGAATCTTGGATAATATCTAGGCAACGTGATCACGTTAGAGTGATGCAAGAGAATGTGTAGGTGCCAAATTTGGATTTTGAATCGTGGTCAACTTTCCGTTGGCGGCCGTACCAGGTATTTGAGTGGGCTCAAATAGTGGGCTTGAGCTTCAATATTGGGCCTAAGCCCAATTATGGTTGGAGGCTTTGATAGTTCTTTAAGTGGGCTTGAGCTTCCGTGGTTCTAAAATTAGGCCTAAGCCCAATTATGGTATTGGGCTGTGCTAGTTTTTTAGTGGGCTCAAGATATTGGGCTTGAGTTTCTGAAGTTTAAATATTGGGCCCAAGTCCAACTCCGATATTCAATGAAAGCTTTCCTGATCTCGAAACGCCGCACCCATTCTCCCAATTCCGTTTACGTTCGCTGAGTTTGGCGGGTTTTTTTCTTCTTTGTTCGCGCTCTCATGGAGATGGAATACTCTCCTTGAAACTATGCAGAAAATCCTTGTATTACTTACAAATTACTGGTAATCTCCATCTCTTTGATGATTCTGCAAGTTTATTTAGTGTCTAGCGATTATTTTGATTTTTTGCTGCGGGGAGGGAAGCTGGTGGTCTATGTGCTGTAGATTTTCAGTATTTTCAAACGGCTTCTTGAATTTTTAGAACTGTGGGATTGCTGTTAGGCTGCATTTGATTGAGCTGAAGGATAAGTATATTAGCCGCGAAATGGCAAATGATAAGAAATGTAGGCATTAAGATCATATTATGCGTTTGCATATGCAAGTTGATCATAGTAAATTTGGTGGACCATGTGCTGTAGATTTTCAGTATTTTCGAACGGCTTCTTGAATTTTAGAACTGTGGGATTGCTGTTAGGCTGCATTTGATTGAGCTGAAGGATACGTATATTAGCCGCAAAATGACAAATGATAGGAAATGTAGGCATTAAGGTCATATTATGCGTTTGCAAATGCAAGTTGACCACAGTAAATTTGAGAATTTACAACAGATAGAACTTCAAATTTTAGGTCGGATGAACTTTACTATTGCTAGAAATAGTTTACTCATATTTTTCTGAAAACTTTAATGATGTGATTCTTCATCAACTGTTAGATTGTTTGACATTTATTTTAGATATCTTTGATCTTACGTTTCTTATTGTTTATGAAACTTAGCTCCATGGTTTAGATACTTTCATTCTTTGCTCGGTACTTTGAGGCCTTAGTTTTTAATGATCAATTCTACGCTCTGCGTTTGTCGTGGTAGTCAGTTGTAGTATGCATGACACCGTTTCCTGTGATAGAATGATCTTAAAAAAAAAATTAAAGTTTGTCTTTGATCTTAAATCTCGATTTCAAACTTCTCGATGTCATTGGGGAGTTTGATGCTGGACATTAAGAAAGAATAGGGGTGTAAGGGAGGAGAAGAAAAACAATGTGATAACGAAATAAACGCGACCAACCAATTCAACATATTTTATGTGTCCAATAAGCTCTTCAATCAATACATAATAGAGTTAGATTTAGAATCTAGTTCCCGTACTTAAGATATTTTTAATGTTTTGAAACCCATATTTTAATTTGTTTCATTATAGTCCTTTTAGAAACAAATCAGTTTAATCCTTTACATTAATTAGCCAGTAAAATAGTCATAAAAAGAAGGAAAAAAAAGTTAACACGGTACCCTGTGGAAGTGCATTAGTTTGTGTATGTAGGCAACTGTAAATAATCTCAAGGATATCAATATTTCTTCATATTTGACTGGATATTGAACGATGGGAACCACGATGTTATGCTTGTACAGGAATAGTGATTGAACCGAATGAACCAAAATTAAAGAAATAAGTACCAGACGAAAACTATAATTTTGATTTAATTAATTCAGTCTAATGTAAGAGCCGGAAGCTAAATAAAACTATAACTAGATTACGGATCGAGATCTTTATAGAATTTCCGTTAACTGATTTTTGACATATAACCTTTTATTTTTGCCTAAAACAGGCATCTTTTTTCCTCAAAATTTTAATTTGACATCATGACAAACAGTCTCATATAAAGGTTATGGGATTCTACATAGGTTTTTCTTTTTCCCCCCACTAATGTACTGTGGTATAAGCCTTCCAGGTGCCGTCGTGAATTAAAGCTTTCAATTAGAAGGGAAATTATGAAAACGATGTAAAAGCTTAAAGAAGAATAAAAATTGTAAAAGTGAGGGACTAAAATTGAAAAATAACAATAATTTAGGGGCTGAAATTGTAGTTTGACCCCATATTTTGTATGTTATTGCCATTTCCTAATAGAACTATAAACTCTCTTATAATTTTCCTAGTAACAAACATATTAAATTTTAACGATTACTTAAAATGTTTGATTTCTTTATTGCCCTTGCATCAGATCTGTATTGTATGCGCGCATAAACGTAATTTTTGCTGAAAGAGTAAAGGTTAAAACATGGATATGGATATGCTTATGGTTACTCATATAAGTGCATCCTATCGGGCAGCATGATCAAAGCCATCATATTTGTACTATTGCTCCTCTACGTTGTCATCACCTGGGGTCACATTCATGGCTTTTTGGGTGATTAAATCGCAGTGAAGCAATATATTGTTTTGTTAAGATGTGTATTGAAGCCATCATATTTGTACTATTGCTCCTCTACGTTGTCACCCCCTGGGGTTATATTTGTGGTTTTTTTGGGTGATTAGGTTGCAATAAAGCAATTGATTGTGTTGATAAGATGTGTATTGAAGCATTATATCACTTCTGGAAACTTTTAATCATGATAAAGATATTATGAGGTTATGTATTGTTTTTTTAGTGGGTTGACTGAATACAACACATTTTGTTTTCTATCCTGTGCTATGTAATAACGGAGGGAGATTGGAGAATATTATTGTATTGGGTCAATTTACCAGCATTCTGTACAAGTCTTTAAATAGCTTTACTAGGCACAGATATAAACTGAGTTAATTTCCCAACCAATCAACGGTAAGTTGCTATTGTTTAAATAGCAGAATGAAGGAAAAGGGAAAAACCTTTAACACTATGCATGTACAATGAAGATTCGACTGAGTATACGTAAATTGAATAAACAGTAAGAACCAGATGAATAGATATTCTTGACGTTTCAAATTAACCCATCGTCCAAGGCCTGTAAATCAACCTTGTTCATGACTATACTGAAATGAAGTTGTAGCCAAGGGTAACACTATTCTTAAGTTATTCCATAGAATTTTCGTTTATTGGTATTAATTAATATTGATTAATTCGTGTATTGTGGCTATTATTTTTTTTTTCTTAAGGATATCTGATTGTCCGTAGCTGTTTGAGGATTCATTTGTTCTTAGACAGGTATTTCTATTATATAACATTGAGGTGGTTTGGATGAAATTTGCAGGCTCGCAACTTGAAGATTTGGCAGGATACAGCTTAGCGAAATCTATGGTATTGCTGGTGGTATAAAGTTGAGGCTGAGTATGGTAACTGAAATAACGGTGACATAGTCAAGGAATCGTGTGGGAGGTCCTTTTTACGGATGTGCGAGGATCAAACATCCAATATTCTAGAATTCAGATGCACGATTTCTCGGCTTCGCAATGCTCAACATGGTAACAAGATGAACCTGTTTTTCATTTGTTTTCTCTCCAAATTCTCTGTTCTCATATTTTTCAATTGTATGCTGTAAATTAAACACAAAACAAAGTGATACACACTTTCACAGAATGGTTTTATGATTTTCATGAAAAGAACTCGATTAATTTATTCCCCACGAGGAAGTTTAGAGAAGAAAAGAATATCTATTTTCAGTGGCTTATTATAATTCATTTGCTGGTGTGTATCTTCTTTACAACTTTATATGTTTCGTAATTATGAAGTTACAGTTGAAAAAATCGAGTGTTTCCAAATGAGTCATGTTTATAAGCATAGGGATGTCTCCGCTGGGGTTACATGCTCTGAAAACCGACACTAAAATTCTTAATTATTAATGTCTGAGAGGAATATCTTTCTTCTTTTTTATATCTCTCTTCTTTTTTTGTTCTTGGGGAAGTAAAAGAAAATCATTATCTCTGATGATTATTGAAAAGAAAGTGTGCTTTACTTTAAGGACTAGGGAGCTGTTAGCGATCAGGCGTCTGCCAGAACTTGTTCTCTGAACGGCTGGCCTCTATTACAATACAGCGAATCCTGGTTAGTTTATTTCCTTCCTCCCCACCCTCTGTTTATATATCTGTCTGTTTTGAATCAGAGCGCTACAATTTGCTAGCTCTTTTTGTAACCTTTTAAAACAGGCTATGCATGAAATTCCTGCAAGAGACAAAAAGCATGAGATGCAGTAGCAGCTTACAAAGTGAGCAATTCTTATCTTTCTTTTCCAATTCTCGTGTTATATATCCGTTTCCCTTATAACCGATAGAGAAAAATCAGCAAAAGAAGAAACCAAAATTATTCGAGAGAGGAAGTGAGAAGCCAGGACATGTCCGGAAGAAGGATGATGAAAGAAGAGGAACCTTTCATCATCAGACTCCATACCTTTCAAAGGGAACCGAATCAGACAAAAGCTTGGGGGTAAGAAAAGGATGTTACTTTTGGGGGGAAAATATAGAATTAAAAAAAATTAAAAAAAGAAACCAGGAATCTCACTGTACATATTGCCTTTTAGGCCTCTAAGCCCCCACTTTTCATCATTCTTTCACCGCTAAAATGATTATTCATATTTACTATCCCAACTAAAAGTCTTAAAAGACACCGCTCTGCCCGAACTGAACTGGAGAGAGGGACATCACTTCTGCTAGAAAACCACACTCAAAAAAGAAGATGAAATTTTTTGGATTATCCTCCCCTCTTGTATTGGAATATTGACCCATGTCTCTCTCTCTCTCTTTGAAAATTACAAAGAAGCTTCTTCCTTTCCTTTCCATTCCTTTTGTTCACTCAACTTTCGTTTTCTTCTTTTCTGCACAAATATGCGGGATATTGATATTATAAATTCTAATGTATTTTCATGGGTCAGTCTTATTGGACTTGGGTGTTACTTTAATGTTGAGATGATGCAGCCCATTGACCTTTTTCCATGTTCTGTAATCTTTTTGACTTTTCAGCTGGTCAAAATTTTCAATTCAAATAAACAATCAAGGATATTGTTTTCTTTGTACTGTCCAAGTAAAATTGTTTTACTGTCTCCTGTTCATTTTAGATTCTCATCTTCTTGACCATAAGCTTGATTAGATATTTTTGCAATAAAAAGATTATAACAGATTTAATAATAGTCCATTTTTAGTATTAATTATTTTATTGGCTTCTCATTTCTTTTTTGCCCTTTCATTTACCTGTTGATGGTTTTTACTTTGTGGAGGATTAAAGAAAAAACTGGAAGCGAGAAGCATGGAAGGGTTAAAAGGTACAACTCCCAACAATTGATTCTTCTACTAGTTTTTTTCAAAGTTTTTTTTCTTCTTCTTTTTTTTTTTTTTTTTTTTTTTTTTTTTTTTTTTTTTTTTTTTTTTTTTTTTTTTTTTTTTTTTTTTT